AGTTTGCTCAGAAACAGTTTTGGGCTAATTTTCAACAGTTAAACTTGATGTTAAAGAATAGATTGCTAAAAGTCCATTTTTGCCAAATAGTACAGACCAGTACTTGATGGATTTTGGGAATAAAAATGTTCATACAGATTTTAAATCAATATGGATAGTGAAAAATGTAATAAGTGATATGTCAATATGACTTACAAAACAAATGCCACTAAACATTGCATCGCTTGTAATTCTTTGTTTATTATAAATTCATCTTATTAAATTCATCTCCTTACTTCTTGAAGATTAAATTGACTAATTATCTATCAAATATCTCCTCATCCAGTTGTCATTTGCGTTAAAAACTGCATCATTTTCAAACGACGCACTCCTGGACACGAAACGACGACGCCATATTGCCAGCATTGTTCTATCGCTTTCTCAGCATTCCGGCAATGTCATTGGTTTTGGGCGCCAAATGCGCGAGTTTGTAAAAAATCTCCTCTTAAAGAGACTTGTAGAAAAGACAAAGGCAAATGTGTAATTTCCCTTGATGGAACTTGGCAAAGACGAGACCATGTATCGCCCAATGGTGTTGTTTCTGCCATCTCATTAGATACCAAGAAATGCCTGAATGTTGAAATACTCTCAGAAAAATGTCAGAAATGGCAAAAGAAAGAAAACAACCCAAAATATCAAGAGTGTAAACTATAGTCGCCACTGTAAGATCAACCACGCTGGACGTGCCAATAGTATATGATGAATTACAAATTATATTCTTGCCATAGAAAGGCAAAGAAATAATTAAAGGTAGATGAAAAACAATAGGGCATCTAATATATATATATATATATATATATATATATATATATATATATATATATATATATATATATATATATATATATATATACCGGGTGTCCCAAAAAAAAGTACTCCTGTTTGATTTGTAATAACTTCTAAACAAATAAAGCTTTTAAAGAGAAATAACGTGCATTAAATTGAGAAGGACTAACTTAGATTTTGATATGTTACAGTTGTATTTTACTTAAGAATTCACGGAGATATTAATGTTCAAAATCGGAAGCATATTTTGGGATGTGTCTAAAATTAGCGAAAATCGGCATATCAAATATTAACTCCAGCGTTTGATTGCTTAATGACATATCAGGCTAACTTGTATTTCAGCGATTTGCCGTTAGGGTTTGTACGAAATATGGCGTAGATTTAGACATCTAACATGTATGTCTTAACTTATTGTTTCCTGAAATATGAACTTTCGAAATTATGCAAGTATTTAATAGGTCTTTGCAAACTTAAAGGTACATGAAAGACCATGCAAGGCACGCGCTTAAATTGTTCTTAAATAGCCTAATTTTTTTATGTTTTTCATTGGTTCAAATTAAGTTGATTATTCTCGGTTAGAGCATGATGAATATTATTCTTTAATGAACGAAATAATATTGCTTTTTTCGAGTACACATCAGTGTCAACGCTACTATTTTGTTACGTTTTGTTCCAAAAATGTTGGACGTCTCTGGGGAGTTGCTTGTTATGTCTTTACTTATGGAGTTGTATGCCTGGTTTGATTTTGTTTCATTCTCAGTTTATTCTGAACTTGCCAAGATTAAGAAAGGCAAAAGAGTTTGGGTGTTCTTAACAAGATTTCAGAACGTTGCAGAAGTTAGAAAATTCATTCAATGTGAAGTTAGAAAATTCACAATTCCATTGTGACAGCTAGCATGCCCTAATTCAGAATTACGAACGAACGAACCATGATGATCCTTCGTGATGCAGTGGTCTCATGAAATAAGGAAACGTATTCGTGCTAGGAACACACGCGGATTTCGGACGAATAAATCTTGCTTGTATAATAATACTTTGTTTCATAATAAACAATTTGTCAAGTGTCATTTATTTACTGGTAATAGTGCATGTTTCAGTCGGGCAAATCTTGATTAATATTTGATACGCCGATTTTTGCATATTTCAAACACATCCAGAAATATCCTCCCGAATTTAAAGATTAATATCTCCGTGAATTTTTAAGTGAAATACAACTGTAATATATCAAAGTCTAAGTTAGTCCTTCCTCTATTTGATGCAAGTTATTTCTCTTTAAAAGCTATACTTGTTTAGATGTTATTACGAATCAAACAGGAGTACTTTTTTTTGGGCTACCCGGTATATATATATATATATATATATATATATATATATATATATATATATATATATATATATATATATATATATATATATATATATATATATATATATTTTATATATATATATATATATATATATATATATATATATATATATATATATATATATATATATATATATATATATATATATATATATATATATATATATATATATATATTTATAATATATATATATTTATAATATATATATATTTATAATATAGTCATTCACCGTATATGAGCTGTTCTGCAATCTGATTGGTTGAATTACTCGCCGTATATCAGCTCATATACGGCGAGTAGCGAAAAACAAGATGGCGGTCCAAAAACTACATGAGAGTTTGCGAAGCAGAAAAAGGAAAATATTCGCTTTGAGAAACATAATAGTACAAGGAAAAACTCTCAAAAAAAATTTGACAGGTTAGCAAAATACATTTATTACGTAGAAATTAGTTTAAATACAAGTTTTTTAAAGAATTAATACCGAAACAACAGCGAAAAAACATGTTCATTGAGAATATAAATTGTTCAGAAAAGTTTGCAATGAACGGCAAATGAATTTGCAGTCAACAAGCACTTACTATAGTACCAAACATCTGTATAATATATCTGAGCTTTCCTGTGAGATATAGAGGTTCTAAAACCATTTCTTTCACTTCGTCTTCGAGTTGTAAAACAAAAGTATTTCAAATTTTCAAGCGGTTTTTGGCCGAACAAATTGTCAACACATTGTAACAGTGAATATTAATTAATTATTGCTTCAGTTAATAGCTATATTAGACTATATTATAAAACAATTATACCATTCGCTCTTGTCGTATATGGCTGATAGCTTTAGCTCATGGTATAATTGTTAAATAGGTGAGGCTGAAGTGAAAGAAACTGAAGCTTTATAAGGTACATTAACAGTAAACGAAACTTTTAAAGTGGATTTTCTCTTTTTGGCGATTTGACGTGTGTCAGCAATACCTGTGACATTGTAATTTTCTAGATTTTATTATTGAAGTTTGAAATTTTGGACATTTATAACCTGTACCATTCTCTAGTGACTGACACTGCTCAAATTTTAATATTTTTTATTACTGAAGAATTATTCACAAATTGCATCATAAATATCTCAATTACCAGGTGATCTCGTGTTCGTATTTTAGCCAATCAGCGCTCAGAAAGGGTTGTCCGAATAGAAATCCATTTTGATGTATTCAGTAAATTATATCTTTCGTTATTCTTTATGAAACTAGTTGAAATTTTGTAATTATGTTTGGTTATGAGAACTATAGCTCTGACAAAAATATGGAATCGAAATAAAGTATATTACAGGAGATATTCAGTTGTTTTAATCATAAAATGGATTTCTATTTGACAACTAGTGCCAGTACTTTTCCGCGTACCAAGATCATCTGGTAAAAGTACAAATAATGCAATAATTCCAATTTTTGTCTCTAAAATATTATCAAAGAATTTTGGAAACATTGAGGAGTGTCAGGCACCAGATCAGGTTCTACGGCTTTTCAAAAATATATCAGTCATTAGATTTGGGTAATTTGTTCAGAGATATGAGGTAGTGGTACACGGTAAAATATTAAAAGCATATATGAAACATTAACGCGTTTATCTGTTATTCAAACACGCGTTTGTTGCTATTCGCGCGACATTAATTGCAGTGAAATTTAAGCTTCGTTTCAAAATTTTAAACTCCAGCTGCAAAATTGTTGAAATAAAGCCGTCTTTATACAGCCTCGCTTACAGGAATGACTTCCCTGGAAGAGCAAATAGAAACTGTGTGTTCTTCTAACGTCTCAAAATTAAATCGTGAATTTTAGGTATTTCAGTTATGGAGCACAATTTTTTAAACGAGTTTTATCAGGCCATATAATGCATTTTAATTACAAGGAAAAGAGCATTGGTTCAAAAAAGGATCTTGTTAGGAAAAAATATATAAAACTTTGTAAAAATTGCTACATTAAGGGGCGTTGATATTTTTTTTCGTGACTTCAATCCTGTATAACATAGGTTTAAATTTCATCGTTCACCCCCATTTTGCTTTGGTTTTCAGAGAAATAAACACCATGTAATTTTTATTCAAACGGCAATGAACACCATGGGACTTTTATTGGGAAATTATAAGACGATGAAGACACCCGAGACATATTGTCAGTTAACGTGTTTAACATCAATTAAAAACACATGGTGTGATTATTTATATATTATATAGGTCAGAAAAATTAATGGTGATAAAGAAGAAAACTGTTTGTAGTTTTTAGAAAGACACAAACAAATACATGATTGGTGAATTTTGGGGATATAGAATAGTTTGGTGATGTATTGAATCCATCGATTTCAATATAATAAAGGGTACTTTATAAAATGTTTTTAAAGTTTTTTTTATTGGTCCTCTTGTGAAACAGATTGTTAGTGCAGAAAGTATCCGGTCTAGTTTTCAAACTGGCATTACACAATTTTTTGCACTACTGGCGCCCTTGAATTGTCACCATGATTCTAGTTATTATTCTTTTAGTGTAAAGTAGCATTTTATAAATCAAACGTGACCAAGTTTTAGAATAATCTCATGCAGATTATTCTAAAGTTTATTCACTTTTGTCCTATTCTATCATTCTGTAAACTATAACAACAATCAACTATAGGCATGTGAATTAATATCTAATGATGTGGATTGTTTATAAAAAACGTAGACCAAATTTGCCTGTGCTTGCACATGTTATGAAAAAACTGCATTTCTATTTTTTCTGCTGGAAGAGCTAGTTTTAATATTTACAAGCGATAAGTGGAAAGGAATCCGACCAACGCCAACTCTTATTCATGCTCTCCCAAGTTTTTGGGGGCCAATGAATAGCTTGATTCAATCCCAGAAATGTTGATATTTACAACAACTTTGATTGGAGGGGGAAGGGGAGAAAAGCAAATAAAAGTTGAAACACGAGCGCAAATGACGAATTGGAATTAGGGACCAAAACTTTAGATATCTAGGCTTTCTAGGATAGCACAGTATGAATTCTGGGACGAGTTTATAAATATAACCCCGAGAAGGTATGGAGAATCGTTATTCCCGACATTAGGGCCCCTCCCACCACATGCAAGAGCCGTTCTGGAGATGATTAACTGGCAAAATACCTGCACCATCCTCCATTAGTAATGCCGGGTTCTGACAATAAAGAAAAATAAAACCTTAACTCTTACTACCGGTATGTTTTTACCAGCTGGCTATGCCAGATTTTCATTACTACAGTCCTATAGACAATAGGCCTACTCTGGGGCGGTAAATCGCCTTAAATCGCTGCGATATAATGCGATTTTGGGCGATTTTAGGCGATTTAAGAAAAAACTGGGACTTTCAAGCACTGCGATTTAGTGCGATTTAATGCGATTTAAGAAAAAAATTTAAATTTTAGGGATTGCAATTTAGGTGTTTTCAAAGGAATTGAATTTTATATTTTGCTCCGGTTTCCTCCCACAAGGCAAAATTGGCAGGGTGGGTTAGGATAAACACAGTTAGGAAAGTAATATCATATCCTCATTGTTGTAAAGATAAATAGTCTAGGCTAAAATAAGTAATCATAGTACTTGATGTAATTGATCACTGAAAAGCCCCAATGTGGGGAGTGAGCTAAATAATAATGTAATGTTTCCACACACATATGCATTGTATGAAGCAAAATACAATTATTAGAACATGTATGTACATTTTATATAAAGCTACAATCCTGGTCAATAATCCTTGGCGCACTTAGTGGAAATAGCATAACCTTTACTTCATTTCCGATTACCATATGAATATTTGCCAATTTTATACAAAATGTCATATCCAAACACCCCTTATCCCCCTTATCAATGTTGTGTAACACCTTGGACGTATAACTCACTACAGACAACATTGAACGGGGGAAAGGGGGTTGCTATGCTTGTTATTGAAGTGGGAGTCAAATTTCGCACAGGCAGTGTCAAGTGCGCCAATATTATTGACCAGGATTGTCCGAATATAAAAATGAAACTAAAATTTATGTACATATATAATTTTGACTCAGAATGTACCGAAGCATTATTTACGTGTTTTCCACGTATATTGGGAGGCGTGTCCTAGATGATTTCGTTGGGAGTTATTGAAAACCTAGCGTGCGCGTCGTAATGTTGATAATTATGACGTCATATGTGCGGGGTGTTACTATGAATCATGATAATCCCGTACGCGTATATTAAGTGAGGCTGACTAGAAAATAAAATTGAATAATATGCATTTCGGTAATTAGATTCATTTAAGGATGATTTACACAAGAAAAATCATAGCAAAGACAAGGGCTTTGGTACTTTATTATAGAAAGGAATCGGGTTTTTCGAATAGTGAGATCGCGAGAAAATGTCATATAAGCCCTTCATCAGTAGCAAGAACATAGAGGGAAGACCAACAACCAACTGCGCTGAGATCTAAACAGTTAAAAGGCAACAAGTCGCCCAAGAAAAGTTGACGAGCGATCGTAATTGTCGCTATTTTGAAAGGATTGGAAAGGTGTGGATCTCAAAGTTCCCTATAAGAAAATGAATGGCAATTTCTTTGCAGAGTTCATTGGAAAGCATTTTAATACTTGTTTTGCAAAGTGCGGACGTAAAAAAAACGATCGTCGCCTGTTTCTCATGGATAATGACCATTTACAAACGAGTAAAGCAGCGCGAAAAGCAATGGGAAAAATCGAGGCTGAAGTTTCACAAGATTCCGGCTAGATCGCCTGACCTGAACCCGACTGAAAATGTCTTTCACTTGGTAAAGAAAAGTCTCGAGAATGAAGCAATTGCTAATAATATAACGTAAGAAACGTTCCAAGACTTTCCAGCGCGGGTTTTAAAATCCTTGGAAAATCTGTCAACCGATGTAATCGATCGTACTATTTCAAGCCTGTCAAGTCGAGTAGATGCTGTTCTTAAAGCAAGAGGAAATCGCATAAAATACTAGGAGTTCTATCTTTTACTGTTATATATGGTAATTCAAGGCAGAGTAAGGGCAGTATAGATCAAAATAGGTGTAGCCATTTTCGCAA